TGTTTACAAGGGATACTGGCCTGTACTTTTCTTTCTGGTAGTTTATATTTCTGGCTTTGGTATCTGGGTAATGCTGACCTCATGAATGAGTTAGAAAGTGTTCCCTCCAAAATAATAGGAAAAAAAAAAAAAAAAAGAAAAGAAAGAAAAAGGAAAAAGAAAGGAAGTGTTCCTTCCTCTTCAATTTTGTAGAAAAGGTTGTGAAGGATTGGTGTTAGTTCTTCTTTAAATGTTTGGTAGAATTCACCAGTGGAGCCACCAGTTCCAGGACTTTTCTTTGTCAGGAGATTTTTGATTGTTGACCTAATCTTCTTACTTGTTATAAGGTTCAGATTTTCTCTTTCTTCATGATTTGGTCTTGGTAGGTTTTGTATTTCTAAGAATTTATGTATTTCATCTAGGTTATCCAATTTGTTGACATACAGTTGTTCACAGTACTCTGTTAAAATCTTTTTTATTTCTGTAGAGTTGGTAGTAATGTCCCCACTGACATTTCTGCCTGCTACCATTTCTCAGTGCCAACTGTATGCCAGGCACAATGATGAGTCTACACTGTGACTCCTCATGACTCCTGCATGGAATAAGCATGCTTGTTCTCTTATGGTCTCCATTTTATAAATGAGGAAACTGAGGCTTAGAGAGGATGATACCCAGCTGGGAAAAGCAGAATCAGGACTCAAACCTATTCCAAAGTCTCTACTGTTCCCAGTGTGCTGTACCACACATATAGTAAGTGCTCAGAGAACCTGTGGGTGGCAGAGAATGGACATTTTCATTGGTGATAGAACCCCATTAAAACATGGCTGCTCAGCTATGTTAGCTAATGACCATCATTCCCAGCTTCCTTTGCAGCAGGATGTGATATGTGACTAATTTTGGCCAATAGAATGAGAGTAGAAGTGATATGACATTCTGGTTTGTACCCTTAAAGAGGCTGATGTCTATTTCTTTTTTCCTACTTCCCACTGACAGGAATGTGGATGTGATGGTAGGTGCTAGAGCAGCCACTTTGGACCATGAGATGGAAATTGCTGATTGAAGATGGAAAGCTACAAGATGGAAAGAGGCTAGGTCCCCGACACCATAAAGCTATCATCTAACTCTGGACTGCTTTCATTCAGATTGATATGAGAGAGGAAAAGAAACGATTTTCTTGACTAGGAGACAGTTATTTTAGTTTTTCTTATAGCTTTGAGTCTGCATCTCACCAGTGCATTTTGTCCAATGAATGGACGGATGGTTGAATAGCAGAAGGAATAGTCACATCCAGGCCCACATACATATATCCGTGCACAAAGACTATACGTACTTCAGCCTCGGTGAGAGCAACATCCAAGTGCAGTGAAAAAAATTCACAGCTGGAGGAGCTAGTTCTAAACCTGGCACAGCCACTAGCTTGCTGTGTGCCCCTGGATAACCTATGTGCCCTCTCTGGATCCCATATTCCTCTGTTGTAAACCAGGCTTAGCAAATTAGTGGAATCTATGCAATTTAAAGATGTTTCTTAGTCTTCACAATTCCATTTCTAGGAATCCATTCCCAGAGAAATTCTCACTTCATAGCCCATGAACACAGGTGCAAAGATGCAGCTTTGTTTGTAAAGCAAAAACTTGGAAATATTCTTAAAAGCAATTAAATAAACTGGCACATTCATGGTCTGGAGCATGAGACAGCTGACCATAGCCAGAGGGAATTCTCTAGTGATACCCGCTGTCACAAAATGATACTGCAGCTCAGCTCAGCTAGGGTATTGGGAATTTAAAGAAAAAAAGAGGTTCAGGGCAGCTGTGGCGGTAGTTTGGGAAGCCAGAGTAGGGAGAGATTTGGAAGGAAGGTCAAGGCAAGGAGGTGGCCTGATGTGGAGATCAGAAGTATAGATCTGGGTAATTCCAGTTTCACTACTCTTAGTCCATTTCTGTGATGCTATAACAGAATACCTGAGACTGGGTAATTTATAAAGAAAAGAGGTTTGGTTGGCTCATGATTCTGTAGACTGGAAAGTCCAAGATTAGGCTACTGCATCTAGTGATGACCTCAAGCTGATTTCACTGATGGAAGAAAGCAGAGGGGAGCTGGCGTGTGCAAGGAGATCGCCTGGTGAGAGAGGAGCGAGAGAGAAACCAAGGAAACCGACTCTTTTTAACAACCCACACTCACAGGAATGATTCCATTTCTGAGAGAGCTCACTCTGTCTCCAGGGAGGGCATTAATCTATTTATGAGGGATCTGCCCCCATGACCCAAGCACCTCCTGACACTGCCACATTGGGGATTGTATTAGTCCATTTCTGTTGCTTCTAAAAGGATACCTGAAACTGGGTAATTTATGAAGAAATGAAATTTGTTTCTTACAGTTTTGAAAGCCAGGCAGTCCAAAATCCAGGGAGTACATCTGGTGAGGGCCTTCTTGTCTCTCTAAAGTGACACAGGGAATCACATGGTGAGTGGCCTGAGTGAGAGCGAGCTAACCTACTCCCTTGCTCTCCTTTTAAAGCCATCAGAACCATGCCCATTACCACTCATTAAAACATCAACTCATTACACCATGAACAGATCAATCCATTCACAAGGGCATGGTCCTTGGATCCAATCACCTTTCAAAGGCTCCACCTTTCAAATACCATAACTGGATTTCCCACCATCTTAACACTGTTATAGTGGAGATTAAGTTTCCAATACATGAACTTTTTGGGGGCACATTTGACCCACAGCAGGGATCAATGCACCCATGCGACCAGTCCCAACCCAAAGTATGCCCATAGGACCAGCTCCTACCCAACTGCACCTTTGGGCCCAGCCCACCTCCAACTGCGCCCATGGGCCCAGTGCCCATCAAAGTACCTCCACAGGCCAAGCTTCTCTCAAAGTGCCCCCAAGGACACAACCTCGCCAAAGTACACCCAAGGGCTCAGCCCCTGTGCAACTGCACCCATGGGCCCAGCACCCCAAGAAATGCACCCATGAGCCCAGTTTCCCCAAAAGTATACCCACATGCCCTGCCCCCACCCAAGTGCACGCATGCTCCCAGGATACCTCCAGCTGCACCCACGGCCACAGGCCCCCTGGACCCAAACTGCACCCCTGAGCCAAACACCCCCAACTGCACCCATGGTCCCACCCCTACCAAAGAGGACCCACGGGCCCACTCCCACCCAACTGTACCTACGGGCCAGCCAGTCCCAACGGCACAGAATCCTCTGGCACAGCCCTCCCCCAAAAGCATCATTGGGCCCAGCACCCCCCCAAGGTACCCCTACAGGCCCAGCCCCCCAAAAGTGCACCCAGGAGCCCAGGTCCCCAAAAGTGTACCCACAGACGCAGACCCTACCCAACAGCACCCATGGGCCAACCCCCCACAGAAGTGCAGCCAGGAGCCCAGCCCCCGCCAACTGTACCCACAGGCCCAGTACCCCAAAAAGTGCACCCATAAGACCAGCTCCCACCTACCTACCCACAGGCCAAGCCCCCACAGAAGTGCATGCAGGAGCTCAGCCCCCGCCAACTGTACCCCATGGGCCCAGCACCCCCAAAATTGCACCCATGTGCCCAGCTCCTACCTACCTGCACCCACGAGTCCAGCCCCCACCCAAATGCATGCACGGGCCAAGGCCCCACCAACGCACCCAAGGGCCCGGGACCCCAAAAAGTGCACCCATGGGCCCAACTTCCCCAAAAGTACACTGAGTCCAGCCCCCACCCAAATGCATGCACGGGCCAAGGCCCCACCAACGCACCCAAGGGCCCAGGACCCCAAAAAGTGCACCCATGGGCCCAACTTCCCCAAAAGTACACCCATGAGCTCAGTCCTCACCAAAATGCACCCACGGGCCAAGGAACCACATAACTGCACCCACTGGACCAGTCCCCAAAGCACACCCACGCACCTGCCCCCTCCAATTGTACACACAGGCCCAGGACACCCCCCGAACGGGCTCAGGACACCCCCAGCTACACCCCTGCACACAACACCCCCCACCTGCACCCATGGTCCTGCCCCCACCAAAGTGCACCCATGGGCCCAGCTCCCACCCAACTGCACCTATGGGCCAGCCAGTCGAATTGCCCCCATGGGCACAGAACCCTCTGGCACATCCCTCGCCCAAAAGCACCCATGGGCCCAGCCACCACCAAAGCACTACCATCGGCCCAGCTGCCCCCAACTGCAACCACTGGCCTAGCCCTCACAAAAGTGCACCCATTGGCACAGCCCCCACCCAATTACACCCACAGGCCCAGCCCCCACCAAACTGTACCCATAGACCCATGGGTCCAGGCCCCCGGTAAGTGCACCCACGAACCCAGCCCCACCCCAATTGCACCCACAAGCCAAGCCCTCACTAAACTGTACCCATAGACCAACACCTTCAAAAGTGGACCCATGGGTCCAGGCCCCCAGTAAGTGCACCCACGAACCCAGCTCCACCCCAACTGCACCCACAAGCCCAGCCCCAACCCAGCTGCACCCACTGGGCCAGGCACACCAACTGTACCCAAATACACCTACAGGTCCAGCCCCCACCCACAGGCCCAGCTCCCACTCAACTACATACACAGCCCTCCTCAAAGCACATGCACGGGCCCTGCACCCCCAAAACACTACCATGGGCCCACCCCAACCAAAGCACTACCACTAGCCAAGCCCCCACCCAAATACACGCCCGGCCCAGCTCTCAGAAAAGTGTACCCATGGGCCCAGCCCCCACCCAACTGCACCCACAGGCCCAGCCCCCACCCTTCCATATCCACTGGCCCAGCCACCACCCAACTGCACCCATAGGCCAACCTCCATCACGGTACATCCACGGGCCCATCCCACACCTAACTGCCCCCTTGGGCCCAAGCCCCACCAACTGCCCCCAAGGGCCCAGCCCCCACCCAACTGCACTCACACCTGTGTTCTGTTTTTTTATTCTCCTAACACGTCTTTCATCACTTATTGATCAAATTCTACCCAATCTTGATTCGACTCAGATGTCCCCCACTGGAGGCATCCCTACTCACCTTCTTTCACCTGGCTTCTGTCCTGAGACTTCTCTTTTACATCCACAGTCACCATTCCATGATGTTGACACAGGAGGTGCTCAGTTTCCCTGGGTTTGGGTTTCATGACCTACCTCTGGCTTTCCAGCCACTCCCTGAAGTCTCAGGCCCCCTCCTCTGGGTTCTTCCCTGGAGGAAAGTTACAGTTGCCAGCTAGACTTATTTTTAGCACCAACATGGGGAAAATGAGACCATAAGGTGCTGGCTTATGCAAATCCAGTGGCTGGGCATGCTCAGGAGAGAGCACAGGCATTCTTGAATGTGCCCGGTGCATGCCACAGGGTCTGACCAACGAACACGCTCCAGGAAGAGACAGACTCAGCATGTCCAAGACTAATGTTCCATCAATGGGAGCCACACCCTTAACTGAAAATTCCTTAGGTAAAGAAACTATGGACTCCAAGTCCCGGCTGAAGGTGGCTGGGCATGCTCAGGAGAGAGCACAGGCATTCTTGAATGTGCCCGGTGCATGCCACAGGGTCTGACCAACGAACACGCTCCAGGAAGAGACAGACTCAGCATGTCCAAGACTAATGTTCCATCAATGGGAGCCACCCCCTTAACTGAAAATTCCTTAGGTAAAGAAACTATGGACTCCAAATCCCGGCTGAAGGCGGGGTTGTTGCTTCCTCTCCTGGAGGCAGCCTGTGCTTCCCTGGCTGAGGGGTGTGGGCTTTACTTTGTATAGAACTTACCTTCAGCAGGTGGCTGCTCACTCTCTTGAGCCAGCCTGCACTCTGTACTGAACTGATATATTTCTTGCTTTTGAGTTAGACTTGATGTCTGCACTGAACTTACCTTTGTGTTACACTTGGTGTGGGCCCAGCTCAGTCACTGGAGCTAGGCCACATTGTCTCTATGGAACCTGCATTTCTGTATTTCTTCTCTGTTCTTTTAAACTAGTTCTCACTTTTTACCATGACTCTGCCCTTGAATTCTTTCCTGTGATGGAGTCAAGAACCTGATAAGAGGACTGGGAGGGTTGAGGATGACTATCAGGGCCTCCTTCCACCCCGTCCCCTGTCAGGACCCTACCTCCGACTTTGGTGTCATTTAGTCTCACAGCTTTAAACACCTCCTACACACCAAAGACCCCCAAATTTATATTTCTAGTCTTAAACCAGCCTGCCACCAAAGTGCACCTTGAACCAGCCCCCACCACCTGCACCCACTGGCCCCACCACCACCCAACTACACCCACAGGCCCAGTGCCCCCCAATGCACCCACAGTGCCAGTCCCCATCAAAGTACCCCAATCGGCCCAGCCCCTCCCCCCCGAAGTACCCCATGGGACCAGTCCAAACCCAAAGTATACCCATAGCACCAGCCCCTACCCAACTGCACCTTTGGGCCCAGCCCACCTCCAACCCATGGGCCCAGTCCCCGCCAAAGTACCCCCATTGGCCAAGCCTCCCTCAAAGTACCCCCAAGGACTCAGCCTCTCCAAAGTACACCCAAGGGCTCAGCCCCTATGCAACTGCACCAAAGGGCCCCACACCTCCCCCCACTGCACTCATGGGCCATGCCCCCACAGAAGTGCAGCCAGGAGCCCAGCCCCCACCAACTGCACCCATGGGCCCAGCTTCCTCAAAAGTACACCCACAGGCCCTGCCCCCACCCAAGTACACACATGCTCCCAAGACACCCCCCCGCTGCACCCATGGCCACAGCACACCCACCCGAGCTGTACCCCTGAGCCCAACACCTCCAACTGCACCCACAGTCCCACCCCTACCAAAGTGTACCCATGGACCCAGCTCCCACACAACTGCACCTACGGGCCAGCCAGTCCCAACGGCACCCACGGGCCCAGCCCCCACTCAACTACATATACAGCCCTACTCAAAGCACACGCACGGGCCCTGCACCCCCAAAGCACTACCACGAACCCACCCCAACCAAAGCACTACTACTGGCCCAGCCCCACCCAACTGCACCCACAGGCCCAGGCCCACCAATTGCACCCAAGTGTCCAGCACCACCCAACCGCACCCATGGCCCCAGCCCCCACCCAACTGCATGCACACATCCAGCCCCCACAAACTGTAGCCACAGGCCCAGCCCCCACCAAAGTGCATGCACATGCCCAGCCCCAACTTGACTGCAGCCCCAGCCCCACCTTGCCACCCATGGACCCAGACCACATCTAAGTTAAACCACAGGCCTAGACCCAACACAGTGAACCCACCAACCCAGGCTCCACCAAGTGTACAAATGGGCTCAGGCCCCCGAACTGCACCCAAGGGCCCTGCCCCCAGAAACGTGCACCAACAGTCTTAGCCCCAATACAAATGCACACAAGTGCCCAGCCCCTAACCAACTGCACCCACCGGCCCAGCCACCAACCAACTGTACCCAGTGGTCCAGGCACACCAACTGCACCCGAGTGTTCGGTACCACCCAACTGCACCCACAGGTCCAGCCCCCATCCACCTGCACTCATGGCCCCCACCTCCCACCCAAGTGAACCCATGGGCCAAGCCCCCACAGAAATGCAGCCACGGATGCAGCCCCTGCAAACTGCACCCACAGGCCCAGTACCACAAAAAGTGCACTCATGGGCCCAGTTTCCCCAAAAGTACATCCACAGGCTCTGACCCCACCCAAGTGCACCCATGGGCCCAGCAACCACGCATAGTCACCCATGGGGCCAACCCCCCCCAAAGCACACCCACAGGGTCAGCCCCCCCAAAGCACATCCATGCATCATACCCCCACCCAAATGCACACACAGAACCAGGACACCCCCATCTGCACCCATGGGCCCAGACCCCCTACAGTTGTATCCCTGAGCTCACCACCCCCAACTGCACCCATGGTCCCACCCCTACCAAAGTGCACCCATGGCGACGGCTTCCACCTAACTGCACCTATGGGCCAGCCAGTCCCAACTGTACCCACAGGCATAGAACCCTCTGGTGCAGCCCTCCCCCAAAAGCACCATTGGGACCAGCATCCTCCCAAGGTATTCCCACAGGCCCAGCACCCCAAAAGTATACCCAGGAGCCCAGGTCCCCAAAAGTATACCCACAGAACCAGCCCCCACCGAAGTGCACCCATGAGCCCAGGCCCTACCTAAATGCACCCACAGGACCTTCCCTACCCATCCGCATTTATGGGGCCAGCGCCCCCCAAAACACACCCACATGCCCAACCCCCACCCAAGTGCATGCAGGGGCGCAGCTCCCACCCAGCTCTACCTATGTGCCCAGCCCCCACAAAGATGCACCTGCGGGTCCAGCACTCCACAAGTGCACTTGCGAATCCACCTCCCACTGACTATAGCCACAGGTCCAGTCACCGTCAAAGCACACACACGGGCCCTGCTCCTGCAAAGCACTGCCATAGGCCCAGTCCCCACCAAAGTACTACCACTGGCCTAGCCGCCCCCAACTACAACCACAGGCCTAACCCTCAGAAAAGTGCACCAATGGGCCCAGCCCCTACCCAACCATGCCCACAGGCCCAGCCCCCACCAAATTGTAACCAAGGACCCATACAGGGTCTGACCAACGAACGGGTCCAGGCCCCCTGAAAGTCCACCCATGAACCCAGCTCCACCTTACCTGCACCCACGAGCCCAGCCCCCACCAAATTGTAACCAAGGACCCATACCTCTGAAAGTGGAGCCATGGGTCCAGGCCCCCTGAAAGTCCACCCATGAACCCAGCTCCACCTTACCTGCACCCACGAGCCCAGCCCCCACCACATGCACCCACTGGTCCTGCACTCACCTCGCCTGGGGCTCTGTGTCTTCCAGAGAGCTGCCTCACTGCTGGGCCAATGCCCTGGCCAGGAGGCATTCAAGAAAGGACCATTCTGATTACAAAGAAGAGGAGATGGACGTGGCAAAGCTCCTACAAGAGGCAGTCCCTCCCTGGTCCTGTGGTTCCCTGCTCAGGACAGCTGACCTGGCTCAGCCCACTCCCACCTCTCCAAGAGCCCCCGGACCTCTGCTTGTACACTTGGCTCCCTATGTGTCTGTCCCTATGAATCTTTAACCCAGAACCAAGCTGGGGTCTCAATAAAGGAAAAAAAATTCTATCAAGCAGAAGAGAGGCTGTCTTGCTTTTCTCCTGGAAAAATATACCCCAATCCATTTTCCCACAAGCAGTCTCTACACCACGTGTGCCCACCCTCAAAACATGGCCCAGTCCTGTGCACAGCACTGAGACCCAGAGGCCATGGGAGTCTGCTAAAAACACCTCTCGACATTCCCTGCTCTGAACTGGGTACCCAAGGCGACCTCACTGTGACCTTGGAACACCTCAACTCCCCTCCTGGGCCTCAGTTTCCCCGCTTGGAAAAGGATGAGGGTGGACTAGATGCCACCTTATCCTGTGCTCCCAAATGAGACAAAATCAGAGACAGCAACATGCACCAAACTCTAGGAGCTCCTGCCTCCCCGTGCAGGCAGGGTCCTTCACTGGAGCCTAACATGGGCTTCACGTTGTGGAGAGAATACAGAGGGCAGGTGCATGCTGGGGCTAAATCTTGCGAATGATGATGATCCGGTCCAAGCCCCAGGCCTGACACTTTCCGAGGCCATTTACACACACTTGGTCCCAGCACCCACTGCAGAACGGCCCATTCTTCAAGCAGGACCAACCAGGCAAGGCCCCAGGGAGTCCTGGGGTTGGGGGACAGTCTCTTGCCCTGACACCCCCCAGGCAGGGCATGCCACCCCTCGTGGTCCCTCCCTCGGGTCTCCTCCCCAGGCCCTGCAAGACCCAGTCCACGGAGGATGGGTTGAGCAGGCACTAGACAGGCCTCTGACCCCTGGCTCCAGTCCAAAGAGAAAGTCCAAGGACCCAGGCGTGGGGCCTCCAGGGGTCAGGTTAGTTCCTCGAACCTACACCTCAGTCAAGAACCCCCACCCCACCAGCAAGCCTAGGGCTTCACACTTACAGACACCAGGACAGAGGCGCCTCAGGGACACCTGGGGAACAGCTCCGGTTCGGAACCCGTAGGGCCCTCCAACTACTCGGGGACTTCACTCCCAAGCACTGCTGCCACCCTCAGGAACTCTCCAGGGCCACCCTCTCACCTCCAGCGCCGCCCCTGCCCAGAAGGCCCCCCGGGTCGGGGGCTGCTCACCACCAGG